ACCCACTCCCTGGGACTGTGCCTTTTGAGGTCACTGTAGACTCAGGTTCTGCTAGCGGTGCTATGTCTGGGGGTGCTGGGTCTGGGGGTGCTGCGTCTGGGGGTGCTGAGCCTGCGAGTGCGGAGCCTGGGGGTGTTGAGCCGGAGGGTGCGGAGCCTGGGGGTGCTGAGTCTGAGGGTGCAGAGTCTGGGGGTGCTGGGCCTAGGGGTACTGCGTCTGCTGGAGGTCCTGCGGGTGCCTCGCCAGTGGGAGCCTCTCTCACCACAGCAGCCGCGCAAGTGGTTTGCTCAACGCACACGCCTTAGGAGTGGAGCTGCAGGAGCTGGAGGCTCTGCCGCTGGAGGCACTGAAGCTGGAGGTGCTGGAGCTACTAGTCTTGGAGGTGCTGGAGTTACTGCTGGAGCTGGAGGCACTGTGCAGCGGCACCCGTTTTTTGTTCCATCGCAGCCGTCGTCTCTGCCGCCACCTGACTCGGTCCTTCGCCAAGTTCTTAGTCTCCCGTCTTCTACTGGCCTTCCTCCTAGCTTACTGAGTCCACCGCCTGACCAGTCGCAGCAACAATTACAGCCAGAGTCCCCACTGCCTGCTCCTTCTCCTTACACTGAGCAGACAGACTCTCTTACAGAGCATCGTGAGCCTGAGTCTCGTCCTGCCTCGCCTGTTCGCGCTGTTCACACTGGTTGTCCTGTTCCTCGTCCACATCCTCTTCCTGTCCCCGGCACTCACATTATGGCACTTCGTCCTTCCTCTATTCCACTGCGAGTTCCCCTGCCGCCTCCTCCTGCGTCCTCTCTTCCTACCGCTCCTGGCCTTGAGTCTGACTTAGCTCGTGCTGCCAGTCCTACTGTCCCTCGTCTTCTAGCCACTGTTGTCACTGACCCTTCGTTTGAGTCCACTGCCGCGTCTGCCCTAGTTGCTGAGCTTGTTGACTTTGCTGCTGCGTGTCGTCTCGACTACGCCGCTAGTCTTGTTGCTGATTCTGAGTCTGACCGTCCTCCATCCGACGGGGGTGAGTGTGCTCTTGGCACGGACGTCCTTGAGGACAGGCAGGAGGACTTTGAGTGTCTTGCAACTGCTGTACCTCATCTCGTGGCCATGGTGCTTGCACCTGAGGGAGACCCGGATGCACCAGACATCCCGACCCCGCGCTCTTACGCAGAGGCGATTACGGGTCCCTACTCCTCTCAGTGGCAGACAGCCATGGACGCAGAGATGGCATCCTGGAAGTCCACAGGCACCTACGTCGACGCAGTTCCCCCTTCTAGGCGAACATAGTCGATGGCATGTGGATTTTCAGGGTGAAGCGGCCGTCGGGTTCTCCGCCTGTCTTCAAGACTTGTTACGTTGCACGAGGCTTCAGTCAGCGACAGGAAGTTGACTTCTTCCATACCTTTTCCCCCACCCCAAAGATGACTACTCTTCGGGTGTTGCTGCACGTCGCTGCTCAGCGTGACTACGAGTTGCACTCTCTGGACTTTAGCACAGCTTTCCTGCAGGGCAGCCTGCACTAGGAGATCTGGCTGCGCCGCCCACCAGGCTTCACTGGGTCCTTTCCTGCAGGTACCCAGTGGAGCCTCCGGCGGCCAGTCTACGGTCTCCGCCAGGCGCCTCGCAAGTGGCACGACACACTGAGGACTACCCTTGCGGCTCTTGGGTTTGCTCCTTCTACTGCTGACCCGTCGCTGTTTCTACGCACCGACACCTCGCTGCCGCCGTTCTACGTCCTCGTGTACGTCGATGACTTGGTCTTTGCCACTGCTAACACTGAGGCACTGGCCCTTGTGAAGTCGGAGCTGCACACCTGCACTGAACTGGGTGAGCTGCGCAGCTATCTTGGCTTGCAGATCACCTAGGACAGAGTATGGCGCACCATAACCTTTACTCAGTCACACATGGTGCACCAGGTCCTTCAGCGCTTCGGCTTCCGGTACTCCTCGCCACAGTCCACTCCTCTGCCTACCGGTCACTCGCTCTCAGCTCCACCTTCGGACGAGTCCGTAGAGCCGAGTGACCCGTATCCAGAGCTTGTGGGCTGCCTCATGTACTTGATGACCTGCACTCGACCTGACCTTGCCTACCCTCTTAGCATCCTTGCACACTACGTTGCACCCGGGAGAGACCGACCAGAGCACTGGGAGGTCGCTAAGAGGGTGTTGTGCTACTTGTGCAGTACATCGGGCATGGGGCTCGTGCTTGGAGGACGGGCTCGAGTTGTCCTCACTGGACACGCGGTCGCTTCTTGGGTTGACGACTTAGCTACGCAGCGGTCGTCACAGGGTTACAATTTCATCCTTGGCTCCGGCTCTGTTTCTTGGCGGTCTACCCGCTCGTCTTCTGTTCTCAGTTCCAGTTGTGAGGCTGAGATCTACGCAGGGGCCATGGCTGCACAGGAGTTACGCTGGCTCACCTACCTGCTGACCGACTTGGGAGAGCGGCCTCGTTCTTCTCCAGTTCTGTACGTCGACAACAAGGCCATGATTGCCTTGTGTCAGGAGCACAGACTGGAGCACAGAACGAAGCACATCGCCCTGCATTACTTCCTTGCTCGAGAGTTGCAGCAGCGTGGTCAGCTTCGTCTTGCTTACGTGGCCACTCGGGCCAACACTGCTGATATATTCACCAAGGCACTTCAGTCTGGTGATCATCAGCGTTTCTGTGCTGTTTTAGGCCTTGTGCCTACTTTGCCTCACCTGCTCATTGCGTGACTTTGCTTGTACTGTGATCTATATATATACCTGCATCAGGGCTGACTTTTCAAATTTAGGTACCCTGATTTCAACCTAAAAGAAAAAAAAATACCCTGAAGGCACATTTTCCAGAAAAACAGCACCCTGAAGGGTTGAGAAGTAGTGAACTCTGAATTTTCAGGGTCGAGAATTGAAAATCAGGGTCGTAGTAACGCGCTCTTTCTTTACCGAGGACAGAAGTGACTGGCACTGTGGCGATGTGACTGACACTGTGGCGATGTGACTGGCGCTGTGTTAGAGCAAATCTATTTCGACCAATAACAGCAACCCTAGGAACGAAACTTCGAAGAAACTTCGTCTCGATAAAGCGAGGGGGGGGGGGGGGGGGGGGGGGGGGGAGGGGGGGGGGAGGATTACGTACGTGGGGGGCACTGAAATCAATGCGAAGGGGTTATCAGGAGGAAATTTCCGAGAAACTTCGCCCCGATAACATCGCATTCAGGGTCCACAGGCCTCGTACTCTGTATTGACAGGGTCCGTGAAAACCCTACACTGAGAGTGTACACAAAATTTCAGGGTCCGCTAAAGCAATACTCTGAATGGATCAGGGACCAAAATGTGAAAAACCTGATTTCTCAGGGTCCAGAAAGTGACAAGTCTGAAATCACCCTGAAATCAGGGTAATTACCCTGATAAAATCAGCCCTGACCTGCATGCTTACACTTGCTAGGGTATGAACTCTGCATGTGAACTGGCCTTGTGGCCATTTGCTTGTGCTCGGAATGTGTGGTGACTTCGTGATCCACCTTGAGCTTGTTTTGCTTTTCTTGACTGGTCTTGTGACCACTTGTTCTCCCCCACTTTGCTTATGGGGGTGTGTCAAAATGTTATAATGCTTACATTGTGTAAGCTGTAGTGGGGTAGCGCATAAGGGGTACAACCCAATTAGGGTTAGCACCTGTACCCAACTCATTCATAGTTTATTCATTCTCGTTCAGTATTCTGACACACTGGATGCTGGACGGTGTGGTACGCTACACATGTTTCCAGTGCGGTAAAACAAGATACAAGCAGTTTGCTCAAATCATAACCAGGTACCAGCAAAAATTGACCGCGTTCACGAATGACTACGTTTGGCGCTGGACCAGCCGAATACATTTCTCATTCACCCTGACTGCCCAATCTGAAAGTACCAGTGGGAACTGATTCTCAAACAGGTGGGGATCCCGATTCAAGATTAAGTTACGGTAGCAATGGCTAGCGACAGGGTGTGTGACATCACCAATGACAGGGTTCTAAACAGGGTTTTGCAGCTTAGATTCCTTCCAGCTATGTGAAACTCACGTGAACGTTACCCTTGAGCAACCGCCAGTTCGTGCACATCACCCAGCAAAATACACGACTCTTGTGCCCTACGCCCAAAAAACTGTTTGAGTAGCCGTGTGATGCGGGGGTTTTGATAAAAGAGAACTATATACAGAAATTTCAAGAAAAATGAATCAATCTATCCTTGTCCTTCTTTCAAGCCTCCAAGCATTTGTCTCTCTCCCTCTTAGCATCTGCTCTGCTCCTTGACAAGTTTGTCCGATGAGGAAATTTCGCGTTTATGTGCTTTTAGATGCTAATCTGGTCGTAGTTGAGGTAATCGCCAGGCTTATACAAGTAAGCTGGTCGGGTGCTAGACCTTGTCAAACTTAGGCATTTATGTCGCCGCCTCCCATGCTAGCCAATACGCAGGATATGTTATGCGGATTCTCTAGTTATAAATCCGTTTCCGAAAGCCCGCGGTCCCACTTGTTTGGTGTCACAGCTAGTTTCCGAAAATCCTCCTACTTGCTCGACTCATCGCCTCGACTCTCGCTCACTTTCAACTAGGCACTTAACCCGCTCTATGCAGTAACGCTGGCAAAGTTACCGCTTCAGCGGTGAGGTGTTGCGCGTCATGCACGACATTCATGCATAAGCTGCTGATGGAGCAAAGATTTGAATGGTAAAATACAATGTTACAATCAGATACACCTATTTGAGGTCCAGCCACCAGCAACCACCTACACAAGAACACAGCATACCCACAATCACCCACATGGTCACAAGGCTAACATCAATTGTAGCAAGCAGAAGCCCCCACCTAAACGGTCACAGCCTCGAAAGCCTCAGAAGCCCTCCCCCCATCCCGCCCACCCCCTACCCCCACCCCACCCAGTGTTGCTTGGAACTGCGCTTGGCAACTGCAGGATCTGCAAAAAGAAGGACAAGGTACCAATTAGTTCCTCAGCACATGCACACACGGGCGCGGTGGGCCCCACATAGACTCTACCGCGCTGCAATGGGACAGATGCTATGGCCTTTCCATTCGGCGGACATGCTGGCATCATGATGGCTGAGCCCCACAGCACATGCACACGGCCGTGAGGTGGTAAGACCGGGCTGGAAATGAAGGCACATGCGGACATATTTTGTGAGGCTTGCTCGCTCCAAAGGAACAGCCATCATGGTTTCCCCTGAGAAGGAAGTGCGTGCAACACGAAACTCCATTTTGCACATGGTTTCATGGCAGTGTGTATGCCGCATGTAGCACCACATCCCGCTCTCACCAACATGCATCGCCCTCTCACCAACATGCATCGCCCTCTCACCAACATGCATCGCCCTCTCACCAACATGCATCGCCCTCTCACCAACATGCATCGCCCTCTCGCCAACATGCATCGCCCTCTCACCAACATGCATCGCCCTCTCACCAACATGCATCGCCCTCTCACCAACATGCATCGCCCTCTCACCAACATGCATCGCCCTCTCACCAACATGCATCGCCCTCTCACCAACATGCATCGCCCTCTCACAAACATGCATCTCCCGCTCACCAGCCTCACAGCCCGCACTCCTGACGCTGTACCACAGTTTTCTGATCGCACGCCTTGATTTCATCCAGGCTGGGCCTTTTAACTACGATCAGACCCATTACGATCGTAGTGGGCGCCGAGCAATCTCTCTTCTTCACTTGAGAGCACAGCGTGCCTGCAAACGGGCGACAGCAAGGGGGGGGCGTTGAATCGACTTCTTCTCATCGGGGTGCGGCCGCATGAGAATGAGCAACATCAAGGGAGGCAGGAGTAAATGGACGGTCATGATCTGCCAATGCTGCCCAGCCTTATGGGCGGCACGGTATCACCAGCTCCTTGTATACAGTAACAGCAGAAAATAAAAGAAAGAAACATAACAAAATTAACCGCAGGAGTGGAATGTCAATACATGTGCGGGCTTGGCTTGATCAATCTTACCATCTTTCGCCGTCTTCCTCAACTGAATGAGTTCGCGGCGACCCTGCTCGTCCCCCGCGCTCTCTGCCCTGATGGCGCCACCGGCGGTGTCTACCGCTCCCGAGGCACTTGCCGCCACGCCATGCCGACACCGTAGATTCGCGCAGGGGACGAGGGGACCGGGAGAAAGGGGTGAGCGAAGGCAAGGGGAGGGAGTGGATGTCAGGCGCTTCCCCGTTCTGTTTCATGCGGCGTGGGGACGTGAGGCGTGGTTGGACTCAGAGGTGTGCGCGTCAGAGGGAGAAGCGATGGGCCGTGCAGAGAGATTCACTCTCATTTTCGTCGGAGTGGCCACTCCTGAGAGAAGTTGGAGCACAGTAGCAAGTGGCAAGTGGTGCAGTTGCCGCTTAGAAAGGTGAGAGGGGAGGTCGGGGATTCTGGGGGAGGGGGGTAGCGCAAGTGAGGAAGCAGCAGTGTTTGCAGGTACGACGCGAGCGCCTTTCATTGTCGATTTAGGCCTCTTTTAAGCCAAGCATGGAGGACTCAGTTTCTCAAAATGCGCGTCACCATCGCACGGGTATGCGGCTTACCATCGCATGGGTAAGCGAATTACCATAACACGGAGCCAACCTCTCTCGCTTCTCGGAATGCACGTTCCCATCGAACGGAAATAATTGGCAGTCATCATCGCACGGGTCTGCGACTTACCATCGGCAGTTATCCCATTGCCACGAAGCCGATCAGATCGAGCAGCAGCAGTGGAAGCGAATGATGCGAGAGTGACGGTGAAGGCAAACAGGAGTGCGAGAGCAGTAAGCAGACGCGACATGATTACTAGTAGCTAGTTGTTGGAAATGGGTAAATGAAGAGCTACAGAGTGTGGGACTGGTTCAGGAAGGAAAATGGTGTGTGGATTTGTGGTACGATGGGTCGAATATGGTGGGTGGAAGTGAATGGGGTGAAGCGCAGTTGCTCATGCTCAGCGCTGTCAGTGAGCATCGCGAATCGCAATCCTCAGCGAATCACCATCGAGAAGTGCGGTGAGACGCGTTCCAACTATAATTCATTTGGATGAGTCGCTTGACTCACAGTGGATGCTGGACGGTGTGGTACACTACACACGTTTCCAGTGCGGTAGAATGGGATACAAGCAGTTTGCTCGAATCAAAATTGGGTACCAGCAAAAATAGATCGCGTTCACGAATGAGTGTGTGGCGCTTGACCAGCCGAATACATTTCTCTTTCACCCTGCACCCGATCTGAAAGTACCAGTGGGAACTGATTTTCAAACGGGTGGGGATCCTGATTCCAGATTCAGTTAGTAATGGCTAGCTACAGGGTGTGACATCACCAACGACATTCGGAGTATCAAACATTGATCGAGGGACTGAATGGTCAGGTTTTTAACAAAGTTTTGCAGCTCAGAGCCTTTCCAGGTGGTGAAATTCACGAGAACGTCCATACCCATTAGCAACCGCCAGTTCGTGCACATCACCCAGGAAAATACATGACTCTAATGCTCTCCGCCCAAACAAATTGTTTGAATAGCCGTGAGATGCGGGGATTCTGATAAAAGAGAATTATATGAACTACATGTTAGCAAAACAAAACCACATATACAGAAATTTCATGAGAATCAATTCCTCCTCGTGCTTTCAAGCCTCCAGGGATCTGTCCCGCTCCCTGTTAGCATGCTTCGTTGCTTCTACTAGCATGGTCCTTTCTCAAACGGAAAGCGCCAGCGGAAATTTCACGTTTGAGTGCTTTTTTACGCTAATCTAGTCATGTCAAGGTAAGCGCCAACTAAGGCGTTCAAAGTAAGCTGGTCGTATTTCCTTCGCCGCCTCTCCCATGTTCGCCTATTCACAGGATGGGATATGCGGAATGTCTAGGTACTTCCTAGAATACCGTTTTGAAAGGCCGCTGTCCCACTTGTCCGATGTCGCAGCTAGTTTCCGAAAAGCGACTTGGATTTCGAAAATCCCGAGACTACTTATTCGTCGAGTCGCCTCCGCTCTCGTCGCTTCCAACCAGGCGATTTAACCGCCCTATGCAGCAGAAACTCTCTAAACCCAAAACGATGAAAAACTTACTGCTTCAAAGCAGCAAATTCATGCATTAACTGCTGAACAGATGCATCACATGTGAAGGAAACAAACAATGGGTGAAATAGAGTTGAAATACAGTGTTACAATGACATACCACACACAATCACCCACATACATTACACACCCACATCATAATCACAAGGCTAACATCCGTTGCAGCAAGCAGAAGCCTCTTCGTCTTTTCCCCGCCACCACTACTACACGCTTCCAGCTCGGCAGCAACCCCCCCCGTGTCGCTTGGATTTTTCACTTAGCGGCTGCTAGACCTGCAGACGAAAGTGTCAGAACGTTATATTGCGTACTTTGTGTAGGCTATAGTGGGGTAGCCCATAAAGGGTACAACCCAATTAGGGTTAGTACTTGTACCCAACTCTTTCATAGTTCATTCATTCTCGTTCATTCTTCTGACATGGTTTCAGAGCAGGTCCTTCGCAAGGACCGATTTTTTAGGGCCCACCACATAGCTGCCCCACTAGCTGCCCTGCCCTACCAGCGCGCCGCCCTGCTGGCTCACGCGCCGCCCTGCTGGCTCACGCGCCGCCCTCTGCAGCCCTCGTGCCGCACCTGCTGCCCCGCGCGCCGCCCCTTTGCGGCCCGCCCGTAGCCCCTAGGCCTCGAGCGCCGCCCCTTGCGGCCCGCCCGTCGAACCTAGGCCCCGCGCGCAGCCCCTGTAGGCCCGCCCGTCGACCCTAGGCCCCGCGCGCCGCCCCTGCAGGCCCGCCCGTAGCCCCTGCTGCCCCGCGCGCCGCCCCTTACGGCCCGCCCGTCGACCCTAGGCCCCGCGCGCCGCCCCTGCAGGCCCGCCCGTCGCCCTGCTGCCCCGCGCCGCCCCTTGCGGCCCGCCCATCGACCCTAGGCCCCGCACGCCGCCCTTTGCGGCCTGCCCGTTGCCCCTGCTGCCCTGCGCGCCGCCCCTTGCGGCACGCCCGTCGACCCTAGGCCCCGCGCGCCGCCCTTGCTACCCTGCTCGCCGCCCATGCAGCCCAGCGCGCCGCCCCTTGCGGCCTGCCCTTCGCCTCTGCAGAGTGCGAGCCGCCCCTGCAGCCCCGCGCGCCGCCGATTGCGGCCCGCCCGCCGTCCCTGCTGCCCTGCTCGCCGCCCCTGCATCCCTGTGCGCCGCCCCTTGCGGCACGCCCCTTGCCCCTGCAGCCCGCGAGCCGCCCCTGCAGTCCTGCGCGCCGCCACTTGCGGCCCTCTCGCCGCCCCATCAGCTCCACGCGCCGCCCCTTGCGGCCCGCCAGCCGCCCCTAGGCCCGCAAGCCGCCCCTAGGCCCGCGAGCCGCCCCTCTTGCAGCCTGCGCGCCGCCACTTGCAGCTCGCTTGCCGCCCCTTGCTGTTGCCTGCCCTGTTCCTTGCGCTACCCGGCTCCTGCGCGCCCTACGTACTGCGCTGCTATTGCTTCTCACCGCGTACTTGCGTTCGATCATGAGGGCCGTCCGATCCAGTTCAACACGTGGCTCGACGACTTGTAGCTGTACCTACTGAGCGACTCTAGAGACTGCGTTTCGTTGTTTGACCACACGTCTGGAGCCTCTCCCGCCCCTCCCGCCACAGCTGACAGTGCGACTCACTCACAGTGGCTTACTCGTGACGCTGCTGCTCACTTAGCCATTCACAACGACCTGCCTTTAGCCGAATGCGCTCACTTCGGACAGCACAGGACTGCACAGGCACTGTACGATGCTGTAGTCGCTCGTTACTCCTCGCCTGCCACGGCTGCTCTAGGCCGTCTTCTACTGCTCTACCTGTTTCCCGAGCTGTCCGCCTTTGCCACAGTGGAGGACCTCGTTACCCACCTTCGCACTAGCGACGCTCGCTACCGCGCTGCCCTCCCAGCAGAGTTCCTTGACAGGAACCCGCCCCCGATGTACATCACTCTCTACTTTATAGTCACCCGCTTCCCTGAATCTTTTCGCGCAGTCAGGGACCACTTTCTCGCACTTGATCCCACAGCCCTCAATGTTGACCAACTCGAGCAGCACCTCCTTGCAGCTGAGACTAGTGTAGTCGCTGTAGGTGCCGCTCATGGCACTCCTCGCACGCCCTTCTTTGAGGGGTGTTCCCCCTCCCACCTTGCCCCCTCCTACGCCTCTTCTGCTGCTGTTGACGTCCTTGGTGCTGAGGATGTCGGGGCTGCTTCTGCTAGTGGGAAGCGCTACAGCATCAAGGGCAAGGGTGGCAGGGGTGGTGGTGGTGGCAGCGGGGGTGGTGGTGGGGGCAATAGTGAAGGTGGTGGCGGTGGTGGGAGTGATGGCGGGAGTGGGGGCTTTGGTGGCGGCGGTGGTGGCAGCGGTGGGGGTGGCGGTAGTGGCGGCAGTGGGAGTGGTGGCGGTCGGGCTGCAGCTACTCAGCGGGGAGATTCTAGCGGTTGCCAGAGGCAGCACCAGCAGTGTTGGAGCGAGACCCCGTCGCCTCAGCAGCTTCGTGAGTGGTTTTCTCAGCGTGGGGCGTCTGGGGTAGTGGTAGCTGCCCGTATGTCATTCGCACGGGTGACCGTCCTGGTCAGACATGCGGGAAGCCTCACACAAAGTACCGCTGCTTCTCCCGCCTCGACGACGCT